ATACTATAGTTAAAATATGTGCAATATATAACATAGGAAAATATGAATCAAAAAGCTATAATTGCTGTTTTGCTCAAATAAGTCAGACATTCATTTAATTTTCTAAAAGGAATATTTATTTTTGCTAAGTTTAGCTCACAAAAGTACTGTTTAATAAAAATCATACATTTGAATAAATCTGACTCTTTCAATATTTTGCTGGTATATATTCAGATTTCATGGCCGTACAATAAGTATGTTGTAGGAACTGCTGTGTGTTTAAGTCCTTGTGCCTTGGACTGCAGGCACTGCAAGTATTTTTAGGAACACTTTAGCCGAGACATCAGCTGATGGTTGGACCCACGTGTCTGCAGACACACGCTTCACTCCCTGATACACATGCTCTTGCCTCACATATTTAAGTATTCTGCACACACACGCACACACATACAATTTCTACAAAATACACCCACAGCTCAGCTGTAGTAGATTTTTTTAGTGCCAGCAGCATAAAGGCTGGTTTCCCTCCTACCTCCTCTCATCTCTGTCCGTCTTGCTCCACTGCTGTCTTCTCTTCTTGCTCTTTGCAATGCTTTTGTTTCCTCTCAACCCCTGTTTCAGTCTCTTTTTGTCCCCCTTCTTTCATCCTTTCAGGAGGGAAAGCCTCCTCCTTCTTTCTCTCTCTCTCAGTCTTGGATCCAAACCTTGAACCTCTCACTCTGCCTCTCTTTGGGTTTCCTATGCATCTCCCTGTGACTGAGGGGAACAGGGACTTCACTCTCCCCTCTTCCTCTCCCAGTCCTCCTCCGCCTCTGCCTCCTCTTCTTCGCCTCTCGCCCTCTCGCTTCCTAACGCCGGGATAATGTTCTATTTCCAGCTGGTGATCATGGCTGGGACGGTGCTGCTGGCTTACTACTTCGAGTACACGGACACCTTCCCCGTCCACATCCAGGGCTTCTTCTGCTATGACAAGAGCTTCTCTAAGCCCTACCCCGGTCCGGACAACACCAGCAAGATCCCCCCAGTGCTCATCTACTCAATTGTCACGGCCATCCCTACCCTCACGGTAAGACTTGGATCTACTGACTTGAAATTGTGTCCATAAAAGTTGTGTGTTAATAGTTTGTCAAAACATTAGAAGTTGTTGAAGTTCATGTGATGGGTTTGTCTTCTGCTGTGGGTTTTGCGATGAAATGTGTCTTTTCTCTCGGCTGCATCTTTTTTATGAAGAGCAGCTCAGCAAACTGCTTGGGGGCAACCCCGTCTATCCATAACAGGGAAGTGTGTGTGTTTGAGAGTGTGTGTAGAGAGAAGAAACTAAGACAGGAGTCCGCTCTGACCCCACAGAGATGTAATGGGAAGAGACAGACAGGTCATCAGAGAGAAAGACACAGAGGCACTAACAACAGAGGTAAAGAGTACGCAAGTTGGAGTCGAGATGTAATGATGATGACAGGGAACAGATGCTGCCTGGAAGGGAAAAGCGGAGGTGAGAGGTGAGAACCATACAAGCCACACAGAGGAAGTCAGATTGAAAAAGTGCATGCGCTGTTGTTTATTGTTTTGTGTGTCTGCAGTTAGCTTGTAAACYTTATGTGAGATAATGGGCAGTGAGCCTGAAAGTCAGATCACCTGGCTCAAAAATCCGACCTAAACTCGAACCGTTTACATCTCCTGTGTGTCGCACATAGCACGGAGCACTGCAGACACAAGCAGGCAAAATACAAAAAAAGCCCAAATAACCAGACTGCAGGAGCATAAACTGAACTGTAGCCTGCAGTTAACCACAGATCTGTACAAATGGATCACAAAACAAATGCAGCTGAAGGAGCAAATATTAAAGCGTTTATCTCAAAAACATCAATAAATTGTAAATTAGTAACAGTAAATTAATTCATTAAAATGTTTTGGTTTACACACAAGGTTTATTTTAGTAAGCTCACAAATACTTTATATAATAATTCACTGGTGATAGATATGAACATTGTAATGAGTGCAAACAATCGTTTGGAGCAGTGCTGATTCATATTCAGTTTTCAGCTCAGACGACGTCTGGACTTCTTGAAAATGGTCTCTGCACCAGTTCTAGGCAGTGACAAGTATTCAGACAATGTGTATGGTGAGAAAGTGAACTTTCAGGGTCCAAATGTGAGCCAGGAGTGGAACTGAAATATGGGACACACCAAAGCCATAACAAGGACAGCAGAGTCACACAGACATTGTTTCAGAGAGGAGGAGAAGGAGAAAGTTATACAAAAACTGAAGATCTGGCTTTGACCTATTTGGACATCCGTTCTTTTTCACACAGTTTCAAAAGCAGAACTGTAATATTTTTTCTTTTTGCACCTGTCTGAGTGTTTAGTAATCTGACGTTAGCAAAATATTCTATTGATCAATAATAAATTTTAACGAAAATTTCAGAAAAATTATTTTTGATTGTACATCTTTAACTCATTAAATATTCAGTTTGAAAGTCAGTTTCTTTAACTCATTAAATATTCAGTTTGAAAGTCAGTTTGATTCAGTGGCTCCCAAACTCTTTCTGCTCACCTTCGTTTCATAAGAACATCACCTGCCTGTCCACCTCAACCCAACACGCAGATGTTTTGTTTACAAACTTCATCGCAGTTTAATTCACACCTCAATCTTTTTTGAACATTTGAGCAAACAAAAGTGAGCTGAAATAAATTACAAGTTTCCACAAAATAAACTAACTACAATCTATTTTAAATAACTAAACAACAAACAATCTTGATGGTGTAGTTCTTTTAAGTGCATATATATATAT